CTTGCAGGGATATGAGCCAAACACCGGCAAATGGGACCAGTTCAGTTTGGGATACCTAGTCAGCATGGATGAGTTGGACTGAAGAGTCTGTTTCCACGCTGTACGACTCGATGACTCGAGAAAGAGCATGAGAGACAGAGAGAAACTCTGACACAGGCAGGTCGAAACACAGAAAGGCAGCCCTTGAGTCGAATTTGTGTTGCCTGTCTCATTCGGCTGGTTTCAAAGATTTAATGGTTTCATGTTTTATTCATGACTTTTCACAATCTCAAATCGATTGCCCACTTGAAGGAGATACAAACACGAGGATGCACGGTTAAGTTTACAAGTATAATCTGTTTTTTGTGTCTGTGTGTGTGATAATACACGACTAGCAGGACTGTGCAGTTCCTTGATGGAAGACTCCACGCTTTCGAAATCTGTTTCACATAGGACTGTGACATTGCAGTAACACCACACTTGATTTCTCACAGGCTTCCCCCAGACGTGATCAATAAATTATTGCAGTGACAGCAAACTGATCAATCCGAACAGACTGCCCATTTCTTTCAGCTTTCCTGCTCCTGTGATGCTGCCTGGCCTGCTGTGCTCCTCCAGCTCCACGCTTGTGTTATCTCAATTTGAACTGACTGATGGCTCAATCTAAGAATGTAACAATGAGCTAAAGATGCACACGTGAGTGGTCGGTCCAAAGAGAAAAATGCAACATATAATTGACATGTTCACCATTGTCTGAAAGACTATTGAGTTTGTCTCGATTATCAGGAAGAGCAAAATGCCCCAAGCCAGGGCAATAATGTTGCAAACCCAATACGTTTATGGTGGGGGTGTGTTGGAAAATATACTTCATGCCCCATGATAATGAAATCTGTCTATCTCAATGACAAGGGATAACAAGGGACATGAACCTAATTTGCTCTCATTATCACCCCCTCCAGATGCTCTCTGATCTGCCAGGCATTCCAGAATTTTCCAGAGATGGTAGGAACTGCCGATGCTGGAGTCTGAGATAATTTTCCATTTCTTTTCCTTATTCCTTTTTAGTTATTCGCTTTGTATCATTTTCAGCTTTAATGTTTTGTCTGTGCCGTGAGACAAAAAAAAACAGATTATGCTTGTAAGCGTGCATCCTCGTGGTTGTAGCAATTGGGCAATCGAGGCTTCTCTTTGAGATCATGAAAAGTCATGAACAAAACATGAAAGTTTCAAATTTGTTACTGCATCTCTCCCAATTGTTAAAAACCTGCTCTGTTATCAGTGACATCTCTCGGCTTGTTCGAGTTTGAGAAGAGGCAGGATCACATCAAAATTAATTATTATTCACTTATGGGGCATGGGCTGTACTGGCTGGGCCAGCATTTCTTGCCCATCCCTAGTTGCCCTTGAGAAGGTGGGGGTGAGCTGCCTTCTTGAACCGCTGCAGTCCATGTACTGTAGGTAGACCCAGAGTGCCCTTAGGGAGGGAATTCCAGGCTTTTGTCCCAGCGATATTGAAGGAAGGCTGATATATTTGTTTGATTGATTTATTGTCACAGGCACCAAAATACACTGAAAAGCTTTGTGTGCGAGCGGTACAGGCAGATCACAGCAAGCAAAGAATGTACAGATCAAAAAGACTTAAAGGCATACAGGTTACATTGCAGGTTCCATTATTTGAGGTTAGAGTCCATTCAATAGTCTGATAACGGCTGGAAAGAAGCTGTTCCTGAACCTGCTGGTGCGTGTGTTCAGGCTTCTGTATCTTCTGCCTGATGGAAGTGGTTGTAGGAGATCATCACTGGGGTGTGATGGGTCTTTGTTGTTGGTTGCCTTTCCGCGGCAGTGAGCCATACAAATGGAGTCCGTGGATGGGAGGTTGGCTTCCATGATGGTCTGGGCTGTGCACACCACCTTCTGAAGTTTCTTACGGTCCTGGGCAGAGCAGTTGCCATGCACCCAGACAGTATGCTTTTAGCGGTGCATCTGTAAAGACATGCCAAATTTTCTGAGCCACCTGAGGAAGAAGAGGCGTTGTTGTGCCTTCTTGACTGTCGCATCTACGTGGGAAATCCAGGACAGGTCATTGGTTATGGTCACTCCAAGGAACTTGATGCTGTTCATTCTCTCAACCTCAGTTGTTCTGCTCCTTTCTTTCTGAAGTCGATAAACAGTTCTAAGTCAGGATGGGGAGTGGCTTGGAGGGGAGCTTGCAGGGAGTGGGGGTCCCATGTATATGCTGCCCTTGTCCTTCGAGATGGAAATGGTCGGGGGTTTGGAAGGTGCTGCCTGAGGATCTTTGGTGAATTTCTGCAGTGCATCTTGTAGATGGTACACACTGCTGCGGCTGAGCGTCGGTGGGGGAGGGAGTGGGATGTTTGTGGATGTGGTGCCAATCAAGCGGGGGCGGGGGAAGCTGCTTTGTCCTGGATGGTGTCGAGCTTCTTGAGTGCTTTTGGAGCTGCACCCATCCAGGAAAGTGGGGAGCATTCTATCGCACTCTTACCTTGTGCCTAGTGGACAGGCTTACAGTCACAGTATTGAGATTTTGCAACCAGAAATGGAATTTCATTTTGGCAAAGATCTGTAGCTCGGGTTGTGGATGAGGTCGTTGACTTGCCGAGCTGGCTTGCTTTTGTTCAGACGTTTCATCACCATGCTAGGTGATATCTTTAGTGGAGCTCCGATGAAGCGATGTTATTCTACTCCACTTGGAATTTATACTGTCCGATCCGTTACGGTGAGCAGTGTCGTTTCCGGAACAAGTAACCATAGTAGCCCAAGCCAAACATAGACACCCATGGGAATTCCTAGAGGCATGGTTCTCCACCCATACTTAACTCAACAAACATATGGAATTGGACTTCATATACAAACCCATACAGATCAAAACCAGAAATGACACTACTCACGACAACAGACCAGAGAGTATAAATTCCAAGTGGAGTAGAATATCATCGCTTCACCGGAGGCTCCACTGATGATGTGACCTAGCATGGTGACAAAATGTCTGAACAAAAACAAGCCAGCTCGGCGACCAAGTCAATAACCTCATGGAATTTCATCCCACAGATCACTGCTGAAGACAATTCCACCAATCGTAAAAAGGGAATCGCTCAAACTGGACAGAAGTGTACAGACGTAAATGTTGGGGATCAAGACTGGGATGAGAAGAGATCTAAAGAGATGTGAGATCGAGAGATGAGAAAGTGCTGCTATAGAAACACAGAGAGGGAGGGAAGGGGGTGATTGAAGAGGGAGGGAAGGGGGTGATTGAAGAGAAAGGGAGAGAGGCAGCACTAGAGCGGGGCCATGGAATGGGGAGAGTTGTGTGAAAGGCCAGGAAATGGGAAACGCGATGGAATGAGAGGACAGAAGAGAGAATGAAGCGGAAGCAGAGACAGAGGAAATGAATGGTCGCCGGAAGAGGCAAATGGAAATCAGGGAAGAAAGGTGAATCAGAGAGAATGACAGACGTAGGAGAGAGGGAAAAAGAAGAATGAAAGACAATCTGAAGGAATGGGGAAACGGGGAGATGGGCTGCAGGGAGATTTGTGAAGGAGGGAGAACGAGGAAAAGGGAGAATAGTTGGATGAAACAACGAGGTAAGGGAGAGAAACAGAAATGAAAGTGGAAGGAGAGCACGGAGGGAGATTGGTATGGGGTGACCCTCTGACTTAAAAAAAAAATTTCCTTCAAAATAGATAACACTGTTTATTAATCACGAAATGACTCAATTTTCTGAACAAACTATTACAGAATAGTTCAACTCATGACATCATCAGAATCGGAGGGCTTTCTCATTGATACTTTTAAATAAATGATTGGCTTGGCTTAGATTTAATTCTGTGCTTGATCTCAGGTCCAAACCTCACATCCCCCTCCCCCTGAGCGTCATAACCCACACCGTGTGCAGTTTCACCCCTCCAGATCCTCACCTTGTACACCTGCCACCCTGCACATCCCAACTGTGTGGGCTCTCGATGCCCCCCTCCTACACATCCAAACTGCAGCACTGTGCCTGCACAGCCTTGGCCTATGCACTCACACATTCTTCCCTCCCACCCTCGAGCAGCACAAATCCACCTGATGTACACTGATCCTGCACACATCTTTATATTCGCATGCTGCAACATGAACACCCAAAGCCATTCCGTCCCCACCCATCCTGCTTGCTCACGCCTCATTGATCGTGCCCCCTGACCCTCGCCACCCCAGGGCACCAGTTTTCCCAGTGCGACCCTGCTGGCACATTTCCTGAGCTGAAACACACACCATGCATGAGGTGTTCGGTTTATCTCTGCGCACGGCAACACCAAGAGTGCGGCTCTAATTCCTGGACCAGCTGAGCTCCCCAGGACGGTCCCACCTTTTCACCCTCTCCCCTCGGCTGAGGGATGGGGATCCTCAGGTTAAACCGCCACCAGATATCTCTCTCTCTCTCTAACCGGAGAGCGGAGCTCTGAGATGATGGTGACGTTATTTACTTTATCATACACATTTCCGAGACAGACATTCGCACTGTACACATACTGAAAAAAAAAAATCTCCAGACTGCATACAGTCAAGCTGCATGGGCATACGCCGTATATATTCAAACCCCGCACACAGATACACATAGACTCTCACATGCAGTGAGTCTCACATCGATGATTGGGAAGCTATTGGAGAGAACTGTTAGGGATAGAATTGAAACGCATTTAGAAACGTATGGTCTAATTAGGGACAGTCAACATGGCTTTGTGCAGGGCAGGTCATGTCTCACTAACTTGATTGAAGTTTTCGAGGAGCTGACAAAGGTGATGGATGAAGGTAGAGTAGTGGATGTTGTCTACATGGACATCATTGAGGTACAGAGGCTGTTAAGGTTCAAGTCCACACACACGCACACACACACATAGACACACACACACTCTCACATACATACACACATCCACTGAAATTGACATACACACATACACATACTCTCATACATATACACACTCATACACACACGCACACGCAAACACAAACTGATCATCAGCTCAGACATCTGTGTCCTTCGTCAGCTCAACTCCCTGTATCTTGACCCCAGCTTTGGGACTCTTAATGGTGCCTCTTTGTTGAAGTTCCTTTCGCCAGTGCAGGTACAGGTTTAAGGGATGTATGGAGGTTAGGATTACTAGGATGATGAATCCAATGTTCATCTGCGTCAAAATGGAAAGAAAAGTTAACAACAATGAAAATATCACCGCAAATTCAATCTTGACCTTCCTTTCATGAAACAGTTGAGCTCCAGAGTTGGAGATCACCATCTTTTCCGTGTATCTGTGCTGCAGTTTCCAAGAGGAAATCCAGTTTTTCCCAGTCACTGCCAGGTTTTGCTTTCTATCATTTCAAACCATTTCGCTTTCAATTGGTATGGCATGGTCGCTCAGTGGTTAGCTCTGCTGCCTCACAGCACCATGGACCCATGTTCAATTCCACCCTCAGGTGACTGCCTGTGTGGAGTTTGCACATTCTCACTGTGTGGCTTTCTTCCGGGTGCCCCGGTTTCCTCCCACAGTCCAAAGATGTGCCGGTTAGGGTGGATTGGCCACGCTAAATTGTCCCATAGTGTGCATTGCTGTGCAGGCTAGGCGGGTTAACCATGAGAAATGGCTTATGCAAATAGGGTGGAAGGGGTGAGTCTGGTTGGGATGCTCTTTGGAGGGTTGGTGTTGACTTGATGGGCCGAATGGCATCTTCCTGCACTGTAAGGATTCTGTGATTCAATCTAAGATGCTATTGGAACGGTATCCCTTATTAGTTTAAATAATGCATTTAGGAAGGCAATGTGCCACTTCTTGTCTAAACTCTCCCTTATGTTTGTTTCATTGGTTAATCATATTTAACCTGTCTTCCCTGAAAGTTATTGAGGTCTACAACACAGATGAAGCCTCTTCAGCCCATCATGTCTGTGCTGGTCAAAAACAACCACCTAACTATTCCAATCCCATTTCCCAGCATTTGGCCCATAGCCTTATCTGTCTCTGCATTGCAAGTACATGTCTAAATACCTTTTCAATGTGATGAGTCTTTTGGCCTCTACCACCCTGAACTGGCAGTAAGTTCCAGATTCCCAGCCTCTGGTTGAAAAAGATTTCCTCACATCCCCTTTAAACCTCCTGCCCCTTTACCTTCAATCCGTACCCCCAATTACTGATCCTCCCCATCAAAGGGAAACATTTTTACCCAATCTTTGCCCCTCATCATTTTATACATTTCAGTCATGTCCCCTCGCCATGTCCTCTGCTCTGTGGAAAACACCCTCAGTCTGTCCAATCTCTCTTCATAACTGAGACTCTCCAGCCCAGGTAACATGCTGGTAAATTTCTTGTTAACAGTACTGTTGACAAATTGTATCTGTTCCTGTTTATTGTCGGTGTATAATCTCATGATGATCTCAGTGAAAACAGAGATAACACAGTGTGAAGCTGGAGGAACATAGTAGACCAGGTAGCATCAGAGGAGCAGGAAAGGTGATGTTTTGGGTCTTCTGGTGAAGGGTCCTGACCTGAAATGTTGACTTTCCTGCTCCTCTGATGCTGCCTGGCCTGCTGTGTTCCTCCAGCTCCACACTGTGCTATTTCTGACTCCAGCATCCGTAGTTCTTACTATCTCTGAATGATTTCAGTGAAGTCTCCTCTGAAAGCTACTTGCCTTACAGAAAACTACTTTATATCTCCTGCCTGACCCGCATTGAAATCCCTCACTCAGGAAAATTTTGTAAATCTTTGCAGTTTCCTTTGTGTAACAATCACAATCTTCCTAAATTAAACGCAAAATACAAGCCCCCTGTCATAAATGAGTTGTTTACATTGAGCATAACTGCTCTCTTACAATTCAGTGTCTCCAATATTATATTCAATATAGTGTAGAGCTGGAGGAACACAGCAGATCAGGCAGCATCAGAGGAGCAGGGAAGTTGACATTTTGGGTCTCCTGGTGAATGGTCCCGACCCGTAATGCTCCTTTCATGCTGCCTGACCTGCTGTGTTCCTCCAGCTCCACACAGTATTGACTCTGACTCCAGCATTTGCAGTTCTTGCTATCTCCAATATTATATCCTGGGATTCCTATATGAGTCAGAGACAGATGATAAGGGGGGTGTGAATTCAGCTACATATCTGTCTTCACTTTTAGAAACTGGAAGTGACTTCTTGTCTGATCGTATTCTGAAATAGCAGCATCAGGAATACTCTGCTCATTCCCTTTTTTGCCTTGTTCATCCCTTCATTTCCCTCTCTCCATTTCTCACTTTTTCTCCTCTTTCTCTCTTTAGGGATCCCCCCTCTCCTTCTCTCTATCCACTCTCTCGTTTCTCACTGTCTTTCTCACTCCCCTTTCCCTCTTTCCCCCTTTCACTTAGTTCATTTCCCAACCCCTACCTCCTTTCACCTCTCTCTCACTTCTCTCTTTCTTTGCCTTCACTCTCTCAATCACTCATATACACCGATTCCCATCTCCCTCTCCCAATGCTCGCCTCTCTCTCCTCCCCCACGTTCTTCGCTCTCTCTCTCTCTCTCACACACACAGACACAAATACACACATGCACACACACACCCTCTCTATTTCTTTAAGAATCTCTAATTCCACTCTTTGTCTTTTCTTCTGTTCCACCTCCCTTCCTCTCTTTCTTCGTCCTGTGTCTCCCTGCACTCTCTGTCTGTTCCCCACCCTCTGTGACACTCTTCCTGCTACCTCACTCCAATATTACTGCTTCCGAACATGCCTCATATTTGACCCTTGACCTTTTTTTTAGTAATATTCACAGGGACATCTGAACATCCTGATTTGTGACACACACTCACAAAGAGAGGGTCATTATTCAAGGGTCCTTGGATCAGTGCGAAGCAAGGGTACTGAAGCAGCGAAATAAATGCTGAGAGAGTCTGTCCCACACCATAGATCTTCCCAAAATGACAGGAAGGGTACCTGGAGGGAGCAAGAAAGAACAGGAATTAAGGAAAAGAAGCAGAGAATGACAATGAGCAAGATGTTCGGTAACAGACCAATCAGCACACTATTGAATCATAGAGACTTGCAGCACCATTAGCTAACTATTCTAATCCCATTTCCCAACACTTGGCCCATAGCCTTGTATGCATTGGCATTGCTGATGTGCATCTAAATACTTCCTCAATGTGATGAGGGTTTCTACCTCTGCCAACCCTACAGGCAGTGAGTTCCAGATTCCCATCACCCTCTGAATGAAAGAAATTTCCCCATATCCCCTCTAAACCTCCTGCCCCTTATCTTAAATCTATGCCCCTGATCATTGATCCCTCTATCAATGGAAAGATTTCTTCCAGTCTACGCCCCTCATGATTTTATACATTTCATTCCTGCACTCTGCCCCCGCCAAGTCTCTTCTGCTCTAAGGAATACAATCCCAGTCTGTCCAGTCTCTCTTCATAATGGAAACCATCCAGCCCAGGTAACATTTTGGTAAATCTCCCCTCTCCACTGCTATCGGGACCAGATACATTCACTTTATTATAGGTTCCATGCAAACTACCATCCACATGTTTTCAACTTATCCAGTCAATAAAGCATTTACATTCTGATATGTTTATCAGGCATCCGTAAATGCATTTGCACAACACCCTGAAAACCTTTGTTTCATAATGAGTTTTACGATCATACCCCTCTCTGGTTAAAAACTTTGCTTTATACGTTGATCAAGTATTCAAAGGATTCTAGTTTCAAACATCTTTTCAAGTAGAGGCTTCTTGCGTACATTAGAATGGTGAGGTTCTAAACAACTGACTCACCTCTGAAATCCAGAGCAGCTAAAAAGTAAACACTCAAGCTCAGAATCTAAGTTTTTGTTTTTATTCATTCACAGGATGAGGGCATCGCTGGCCAGACAGCATTTATTGCCCATCCCTAATTGCCTAGAGCGCAGTTAAGAGTCAACCACATTACTGTGGATTTGGAGTCATGTAGGACAGACCAGGTAAGGGTGGCACTTTCCTTCCCTAAAGGACATTAATGAACCAGATGGGATTTTCCAACAGTAGACAATGAATTCACGATCATCATTAGATTCTTAATTCCAGATATTTATTGAATTCAAATTCCACCATCTCTGCGTCCCCAGAGCATTATCTGGGTCTCTGGAATAACAGTCCAGTGATAATACGACTAGGCCATTGCCTCTCCTTGCAAACAATGGCAAAGATTTCAGATAACAAGGTGTAGAGCTGGATGAACACAGCAGGCCAGGCAGCATCAGAGGAGCAGGGAAGCTGACTTTTCAGGTCTGGACCCTTCTTCAGAAATTTCCAGACCCAAAACGTCAGCTTTCCTGCTCCTCTGATGCTGCCTGGCCTGCTCTGTTCATCCAACTCTGCACCGTATTATCTCAGACTCCAGCATCAGCAGTTCCTACTATCTCTGGAAAAGATCTCAAATTGTTTGGTTTTTGAAGTGTTGCGGGAGGCAACTTGGGATGAGAATATTGCCACTTAGACAGCCTTTGCTGTCCCTCCATAATTGAACTTGAGTTGAGTGTCTTGCGAACACATTGTTCAGGATCCACAGTGACATTGACACCAAGTAAGAACGGGATGGCTTCCTTCTGGAAAAAGGGTTTGTCCTTGTTTCCACAACACCCGATGATAGATGTCAGTGTCACTATCACTGAGACCACCTTTCAACGTCAATTTCATCAAAACCGCTTCACGTGCCTTCGTGGTGTGTGGGCATCAGTTGGCTGGTACAACATTTGTTGCCAGTCGCTCATTGCTTTTAATCCATGATAGCCCTCATGGCGGGGTAAAGGTCACCTGCCATAGTCTTATCCAATCATAAGACTGCTCTCTCATTAGAGAGAGGTGGTAGTTTAACCTGAGGGTCACCGCACCTCAGGTGGATGGACAAGTTGAGAAGGAGAGACCTTAATGTTAACCTCAGGCCGTGCGGGGAATTGAACCCACAATGTTGGCTCCACCCTGCACTGCATTGCAAACCAGCCATGATACACCCACGATACTATGAGGAAGGTAGGTCCAGGATTTTGACCTAGCGGCAGTGAAGGTAATTCCAAATGTGGAACTTACAGGTGGTATTCCGATGCATCTGCTGATCATTTTCATCTAGCTGAAAGAGTTGACTGGTTTGGAATGTGTTGGCGAAGGAGCTGAAGAAGTGCACATTAAGGTGCTGCTACTGTACACTGTTGAATGTGCTGGACAGGGCACAAGTCACGCTCCCTACCGCCTCCTGAGTGGTGCCAAACTTCCTGAGTGTTGGTGGAGTGGCAGAGAAGTGGAGAAAATCGGCTAATCAGCTGACATTACCGCCACACCATCTTCAATGCATCACTCAGACTTACCCGGCTGGCACTTGGCCTTGTTTTACTCATTCATTGGACACGGGCGTTGCTGGCCAACCATTTGTTGCCTGTCCCTAGTTGCCCTTGAGAATGTGATGGTGAGCTGCCGCTGCAGTTCATTTGGTGCAGGTTGAGCAATTGATACAAACGAGGGGTTTGCTGGCCCAATTCAGAGGGACAGTGGAGAGCCAATCAACTGTAGATTGTTGTGGGGATACGTGGAGGCCAGACCAGGTAAGGAAGGCAGATTTCCTTCCCTGAAGGACATTACTCAGCCAGATGGCTTTTTTCTCCCGACATTGGGCAATGATTTTATGGTCATCAGTAAATTCTTAATTCCAGATTTATATTTATTGACTTCAAATTCCACCATTTGCCAATGCAGGATTGGAACCTGGGCACCCCAGAACATTGCTTGAGCTTCTGGATCAGTAGTCTGATGGTAATACCACTAAGCCATTGCCTCCCCATTCCTAAGCATGTAGAAAGGTCTCCCACCAGGTGACAGAGACTAGACTTACACAATGCTGATGAAGGTTGCATCTCCCCCGTACAGGAAGGAATGGTTGATGACTTGTAAGATAAAAGACAAGTACTGAACCTCCAGGACAGGAATAGTTGCCGATATCGAGAACAGGACACACTGGGTGATGGTGATAATGATAGAAACCACAGCTGACCTCATGCCAGCCAATCGCTTTGAAACAACTGGATCTGACAAAGAACGAGAGCAAGTCTGGTTAGAAAGAAAGACTTATAATCACAGTTGAAACTAGGACGGACTTGAGTTATGCAGGTTGTGGGGGGGGTGGTGGTGGTGGGGGTGGGCGCTATTGGCGTCAATGACTAAGATGCATGAAAAATGCCAAAAAAATGATCAAATTAAGATCCTGCAAACACTGCCATTTGTGGAAGAGTTCCAAACCTCTACCAGCCATTGTGTATAGAAGGGTTTCCTAACATCTCTCCTGAAAATCTAACCCTAATTCTCAGACTATGTCCCCTAGTTCTAGATCTCCAGCTAGTGGAACTAGTTTATCTACTCTGTTGATATCTTCAAACTTGAGTCGATCACCCCGAAACTTCTAAGTCCTCGAGAAAGCAGGTATAATTTGTGTCATCTCTTTTCATCCCTAAAGTCCAGGTTTTACTCTTATAAAACTACGTTGTACTCCCTCCAAGGACAATGCATCCTTCCTGAGGTGTAATGCCCAGATCTGCTCACAGTATACAAGTAGGGTCTAACCAGGATTTTGTGTAACTGCAGCATAACTTCTGTCTCCTTGTACTCCAGTCCTCTGGGCATAAAGGCCAGAGAGAGAGAGAGAGAGAGAGAGAGAGGAGAATTGAAGTAAATCTTCAAAATGAACAGACAGAACAGGCAGTATGAGAAAGGATCTGATTCAAAAGGAGGTTGATATTTCAGAAACGTCCCCCCCACTGAAATTTTGCGAGAGATGAGGGGCGGCACGGTGGCTCAGTGGTTAGCACTACAGCCTCACAGTGACAGGGATCTGGGCTCGATTCCCCCTTGGGCGACCGTCTGTGTGGAGTTTGCACATTCCCCCCGTGTCTGCGTGGGTTTCCTCCAGGTGCTCCGGTTTCCTCCCACAGTCCAAAGATGAGCACACTAGGTGGATTGGCCATGCTAATTTGCCCATAGTGTTTAGGGATGTATAGATTAGCTGGGTTATGGGGGGGATGGGTCTGGGTGGGATGCTCCGAGGGTCGGTGTGGACTTGTTGGGCTGAAGGGCCTGTTTCCGCAATGTAGGGATTCTATGATCTATGATGAGTACTTATGTGTGCTTACCTAAAACTGCCTGTAAGGCTGTGCACTTTAGAAGGAAGAACAGAGGCGTAAACTGTTTTCTAAAGGGGAAAGGCTTTGGAAATCTGAAGCTGAAAGGGACTTGTCAGTCCAAGATCAGGATTCCTTTTGGGTTAACATGCAGTTGGCACTTGGGAAGGCAAATGCGAAGTTAACATTCACTTCAAGAGGGCCAGAATGCAAGACTATGGATGTACTGCTGAGGATGTATAAGATCAAACTGTTTTCAAAATATTCTAAGCAGTTTTGGGCCTCGTATCTAAGAAAGGATGTACTGGCCTTGGAGAGGGTCCAGAGGAGGTTCACAAGAATGATACTGGGGCTGAAGGATTTATCATGTGGGAAGCAGTTGAGGACTCTAGGTCTGTACTCGATGGAGTTTAGAAGGATGAGGGGGTATCTAATTGAAATTTACAGAATGCTGAGGGCTCTGAATAGAGTGAACATGGAGAAAATGTTTCCACCAGTAGGAGAGGCTAGGACCTTAGGGCACAGCCCTAAGTGAGTGAAGGGACTACCCTTTAGAACCCAGATGAGGAGGAATTTCTTCAGCCAGAGGGTGGTGAATCTGTGAAACTCATTGTCGCAGAAAGGCTGTGGAGACCAAGTCATTGAGTGTATTTAAGGCAGGGATTGTTAGGTTCTTGATTAGTAAGGGGATCGAGGGTTACAGGGAGAAGACAGGAGACTGGGTTGAGAAACACATCGGCCATGATTGAATGGCAGAGCAGGCTCGAGGGGCTGAATGGCTTAATTCTGCTCCTATATCTTAGAACATAGAACATAGAACAGTACAGTACAGGCCCTTCGGCCCACGATGTTGTGCCGAACTTTTACCTGAAACCTAAGGTCTATCTAACCTCCACCGCTACATTATACTATCATCCATATGCCTATCTAATAGCCGCTTAAATGCTCCTAATGAGGCCGACTCCACTACCCTCTCTGGCAACGCATTCCACGCCCCTACCACTTTCTGAGTAAAGAACCTACCTCTGATGTCTCCCCGATATCTACCTCCCTTCACTTTAAAACTATGCCCCCCCATAAAAGCTACCTCCACCCAAGGAAAAAGTCTCTGGCTGTCTACTCTATCTATACCTCTGATCATTTTGTACACCTCTATCAAGTCACCTCTCATCCTTCGTCGTTCTAAAGAGAAAAGCCCTAGCTCTCTCAACCTTTCCTCGTAAGACCTTCCCTCCATTCCAGGCAACATCCTGGTAAATCTCCTCTGCACCTTTTCCAATGCTTCCACATCTTTCCTGTAATGAGGCGACCAGAACTGGACACAATACTCCAGATGCGGCCGAACCAGGCTTTTGTATAGGTGGAGCATAACTTCACGGCTCTTGAACTCAATCCCTCTATTAATGAAAGCTAACACACCATACGCCTTCTTAACAACTCTATCCACCTCGGTGGCAGCTTTCAGGGAACTGTGAACATGAACCCCAAGATCCCTCTGCTCCTCCACACCGCCAAGAATCTTTCCGTTGCGTAAAGAATCTTTTCTTACAGAGACAGAGGAGGGACTGAGTGGACAGAAGCAGTTTAGTGAGCTGAGGCAGGGATCTCAGTGATCACCGCACCTCCATCTCTCAAATCTCCCTGAGTTTCCTGTTGCCTGCCACTTCAACACACCACTGTGTTCTCTGGCCAACATCTCTGTCTCGGGCTCGCTGCAGTGCTCCAGTGAAGCTCAGTGCAAAAGCAGCAGCTCATTTTCCGCCTGGTGACTCTGCAGCCCTCAGGACTCAATATCAACTTCAATAATGTCCTATCCCCACACCCCAGGTCCTGTCATGCCATGGGCTAGCTTTAATACAGGCAGCCCATTATCGCTCATTCATAGCCCACATTGCCATCTACCTAAACCTCAATTCTTCCCTGGCTTACTATCTTCAATCTATTTTCTGCTGTTCTCTCTCTCTCTGGGCTCCATGTCCATCCATCCATGCTTTCCTCAACCCCCTCCCATTATCAGCGTAAAGACCACCTTTTCCGATCCGCTATCAGATCTGAAGAAGTTTCGCTGGTCTCGAAATGTTTGCTCTGCTTTCTCTCTACAGGCGCTGAGCTTGTCTAGCTCTCTCTGTCTTTGAGTCTGAGGGATCTCAGTGTTCACTTCTGAGGTTGGGGTCTGTTTTAACTGTTACTGAGAGAACAGCCAGAATTGGGAGCGTGATTTAATGTTTGATTCTGGATCACTTGAGAGTGGAAGTATTTTCAAATGGATGAACGGAGGCAGGTGGGGTGGGGGTGGGGGTGTTGCGGATGCGGTGACGAGAGAACTGGGTGATCTCAGGTGTCATTCGGTGAGGCTGAGAGAGAGGTGAGTGTGCAGACATGGACTATCTGAGAGTGAGATAGCCCGAAATGGATATACTGTGAGGGAAGAAATGCCCAAGACCCACAACTGAATCGTACAAGGTACAAGCAGATCACATCTGGATGTCAAGTAAAAGAAGAAATTTTGTTTTCCCATCCTAAAGGACCTCGCGCACTGTAACATCTGAGCACTGTAATGTGGGTGACTAAGACATGGTCTTAAAATCTCAATGAGCTGGAACTAGTGAGGGAGAAAGAGCAACACTTCCAAACACAGAATTGTACGCGGATTGCTTGTAACTGAGAGGGAGAGGGAGGTGATGCTGGAACTGGTTAAAACATCAGTCAGACCACAGCCTGAGGGCTGTGTACGGTTCAGGAATTTACAATATAGGAGGTACGTGATCGCACTGGAGATGTTGCACAGGAGATTTATCAGGATGTTGACTGGGCTGGAGAGTTTCAGTTATGAAGAGAGATTTCTTTATTCATTCATTCACGGGATGAGGGCATCACTGACCAGGCAGCATTTATTGCCCATCCCCAATTGCCCAGAGGGCAGTTTAGAGTCAACCAGTCTGGAGTCACATGTAGGCCCAGACCAGGTAAGGATGGCAGTATCCTTCCCTAAAGGACATTAGTGAACCAGATGGGTTTTTCCAACAATCAACAATGGATTCACGGTCATCATTCGATTCTTAATTCCAGATATTTTATTGGATTCAAATTCCACCATCTGCCGTGGCGGGATTCGAACCAGTGTCTCCAGAATGCTATCTGGGTCTCTGGACTAACAGTCCAGTGATAATACCACAAGGCCATTGCCTTCCCTAAGATTGGACAGGCTGGGCTTGTTTTCCTTACAGCAAAGAAGATTGAGGGGGACATGAATGAGATGTGCAAAATTAAGAGAGGCATAAACAGGGTAGATAGGAAGAAATCCTTCCCCTTGATGGAAGGATCAATGATCCAAAGGGCATCAATTTAAGGTGGGGGCTGTGGTGAAAGAGGTTTAGAGGGGTTGTGAGGAAAAACATTTTTGTTAGACACAGAAAGTAGTGGGAATCTGGAGCTTTATGCCTGTAAGGGTGGTAGAGGCAGAAACACTTATCCACATTGATGAAGTATTTAGATACACACTTGCAATGCCAAGTCACATGAGGCCATGGGTCAAGTGTTGGGAAATGGGATTAGAATAGCTGTTTTTCCACTGGCATGGATTCGATGGGCCAAAGGGCCCCTTTCTGTTCTGTAGACCTATCCTTGTTTATGTATCCAGTACCTGCGACTTTTGGAAAATCAGCAATCACACCTTGATTATCTGATGTTGTTTTTAACCAATTTGTGCAACAATACCATCACACACCTCTGGAGCAGGTGGGATTTGAACTCAGATCTCCTGGTTCAGTGGCAAGGACACTACCACTGCTCTGCAAGTGCCTTTTTGGTTACTTGAGACTGATAGGATACCCACTGTTCAAGTTTGGTCATTCATTGGATAAGCCACTATTAAAACAGCATTTAATTTGCTCATCAGGATTACCTAAGACTTAGTGAGTTGTCAGTACTCATGATCATATTCTCTGACATTGTGAAGAGACTTTGTGGTGATTTCTGGTTTACCTGAAATAGCCTCGGAGGTTTTGTCTCTGTATTGCAGCCAGTCCATCACTATCCCATTCCAGGGAGCACAGAATATACCACAGATCTGTGTGAGGGCGAATGCATTTGTATACTTGCTTACTAAGGACATAGATAGAAGGAGAAAGAGAGACGGTTGTTGGAGGGAAGGGAAACAGGGAGATGTGGAAGTGAGCCAAAGAGGGTGTTAAAAAACAGAAAAGCAAATAAAGAAACAAAAAAAAATTACAATCAAATACAACTTAAATGCTTTCTACCACATTTATGCAAACATTTTTTTCTGATATGTGGATGAGAAATGTAACTTGTTGAGAAACTCAACAGGTCTGGCAGCATCTGTGGAGAGAAAGCAGAATTAACATTTTGACTAGAGTCTGAAGAAGGGTCATTAGAGTCAAAACATTAACTCTGTTTCTCTCGCCACAGATGCTGACAGACCTGCTGAACTTTTCCAGCAATTTCTGTTTTTGTTTCAGATTTCCAACATCCACAGTTCTTTGTGTTTTTTTCCCCTCAGGTATGTGGCTTTGTGGCACAGATTCACTTTGGAATGAAATACTGGTCTGACTGAAAATCAGGAAGTAATTATGATCAACGATTAATTGTTAATTTATTGATTATTGTTTTTAGTTGGTATTGAGAGTGTGGGTTGTGCAAACTTGGGGTTGGGAAGCAGATCTCATCATGGAATAGGACAGGTCACCCTGTGTAGATTGTGATACAGAGGGTTGGGAATCCAGATGTCATGAAGAACGTAGACACAGATATTTATGCAGGCCCAGTATAGGCTGAGAGTTGAATATCAATTAGGTTGGGATGACAGTCTCAATGTGTATAACCTAATATTTGTAAATGCGTGTACAGATTATTTCCAGTTATTTCCTACATCAACTGTCTTCCTAAAATGTAACAAAACCACCTTGAGAAAATAGAACTGAAGTTGAACATTCTAAGTTCTTGGCCATCTGTGAGACAGATCTCATACTTTGCATTGCAATTTGTACCACAGTTCAGACCACAAAGTGCATCCAATATACATCCCATCCCATAGGTCTCCCACTTCGCTCTCCCACATTCTCACACCTTACAATTCTCTCATTCTGCCTCCCACCTCGTTCTCTCCTGCACTGCTATCCTTCTGTCCTTTCCATCCTCCACACATCCTTAAATTACCTTCTCCCCATTCTGTTGCGTACATGATTCTTCTCCTCTATTCTGAAGGAACTGGATGGTTATTTTTGAGATGTTGCATTTTAGTAAAGCAAACCAGGGGAGAACTTATACACTTAATGGTAAGTTCCTAGAGATAGTTGCTAAACAAAAAGACTTTGGGTTGCAGGTTCATAGCTCCTTGAAAGTGAAATCGCATCTGGACAGGGTAGTGAAGAAAGCATTTGGTATGCTTGCCTCTATTGGTCAGTGCATTGAGTACAGGAGTTGGGATGTCATGTTGTGTCTGTACAGGACATTGGTGAGGCCAGTTTTGGAATATTGTGTTCAGTTCTCAGGTCTCCTTGCTGTAGGAAGGATGTTATTAAACTTGAAAGGGTTCAGAAAAGATTTACAAGAATGTTGCCAAGGTTGGAGGGTTTGAGCTATAGGAAGAGGCTGAATGGGCTGGGGCTTTTTTCCCTGGAGTGTCAGAGGGTGAAGGATGACCTTATAGACGTTTATAAAATCATGAGGGACACGGATAGGTTGAATAGTCAAGCTCTTTTCTCCAGGATAGGGGAGTCCAAAACTAGAAGGCATACATTTAAGGTGAAAGGGGAAAGATTTAAGAGGGGCGTGAGGGGCAACTTTTTCCATGCAAAGGGTGGTGCTTGTATGGAATGAGCTGCCAGAGGCAGCGGTGGAGGCTGGTACAGTTACAACATTTAAAATGCATCTGGATGGGTATACGGATGAGGGATATGGGCCAAATGCTGGCAAATGGGACTAGATTAGTTTAGGATATCTGGTCAGCGTGGATGAGTTGGACCAAAGGGTTTGTTTCCGTGCTGTACAGCTCTATGATTCCATTTGGTGAGTAATGACTTGTAGGAATAAGGGTCAAAGGCAGGAGATTGGCACTTGATGATAGGGAAATGATGGGCTGAATGACCTCCTTCTGGACAGGAATAAATCTGTGATTTTCTTCTCTGTTCTCTGTCCCGCCCTTGTAATCTATTCCCTCTCTCCCAATATTTCCATCTCCAGCCCAACCCTCTGGCTCCACCTCAGCCTCGCCAAGTCTCTGAATGTTTCTTTCTCCGTCCGCCTTCCTGTCTCTCACTCCGTCTCCGACCTCAGCCACAATCGCCACTGTGACCTGGAACCTTACCCTCTGTGGTGTCACCGTGTGACATTAGCGTGAGCATGGGGTTCAGCGTGCCTATGAATAGGTAGTGTCGGAGCTGCAGGACAGAAATCCACAGCAGATGAGTGGCAAACAGTTTGGAGAAGATGCAGCTCCTGAACGAGCGGACATTTTCCTTCTTCACTTCGGTCCCTGCAGCAGCGGAAGGGGAGAAGGTTTTGTGGGTAGAGAACCAGAGAGTTAAACCGGCCAGTAATTACTCAGGAAACAAAATTGGGCAGCGATGACTGAGATAGGTAGGATTCCTTTGCCTTTGCTCCAAAGGCCATTCATTTGACCCATTAATTCAGATGAGGGAGGGGAGATGTGGAGTGAGATGGGGGGGTATGAGATGGGGGGAGGATGGAGATGCGGAAAAGAGAGATGTGGAGAGAGGAGGGGGCGAGATGAGGGAGACGGAGATGGGGAGCGAGATGGGGTGATGAGGGAATGGGAATATAGGAAAGGGGGGGAAATGAGGGATGGGGAGTCGTGGGTTGAAATGGGCGAGATTGAGGTAAGGCAGTTGATGAGTGAGAGGGGAATGAGGGTATGAGATGGGGGGAGGTGGGTGACGGGGAGGTGGCGAGTGAGATGGGACGATGTGGGATGGGGAGGGAGATTGGCGGAGAATGGGTTGGATGGAGATGCGGAAAAGAGGAGATGCAGAGAGATGCGGAAGGGGTGAGAGGGATGGGGAGAATGGGATTAAGGTGGGGGGGATTGAGGAGGATGTGATGAGGGAGGGGGAGATGAGGTTGGGTGATGAAGGAGGGGGAGATTGTGAGTGAGATGAGGATGAGGAGGGATGGGGAGGTGGGGTATGAGACGGGAGGAGGTGAGGGGGGTGGAGGTAATGGGGGAGGAGAAATGTGGGAGTGTGACATGGCAAGAAATGAGAGAGGGGGTGAGATGAGGGAGGCAATGAGATGGGGAGAGACAAGGGACGGGGTGAGATGGAGAGATGAGGGAATGTGTGTGAGATGGTGAGAGATGGGGGAGTGTGAGATGGAGAGAGATGAGGGAGGTGTTGTGAGATGGGGAGAGATGAAGTCGGGGTATGAGATGAGGAGAGATGAGGAAATGGGTGTGAGATGGGGGCGTGGAGTTTAGGCAGGATGGGGAGAGGAGCTCAATACGGTAGTGGACATTTAAAGTGTTGAAAGCCGAGAAAGCGTCGACACCCAAAGGAGTTTCTGACTTGAAATGAAAATGAACATAAGTTGCTGAGCTCATATAATGCTGTTGATTATAGCAGATGAGAGGGGTAGGAAAGAAGGCTGACCCAGCTTTATAAAATCATCATCCCTTCCATCAAACACACCATCTGAAGATACACCGGCCTTTCATAGCCCCAGAACTCGATTTACAAGAATAATATCTCTACCCCAAAAGTTAAATAATGAGTAGAGATCATCCAGACTCAGGTTGTGATGTCTGAACTTTAACATTTCAAAAGGCAATCAATTAATTTTCTTAAAATATGAAGCAGATGAGATAAAGCAGAAACGAAAGATTGGTTTCCAAGAGTTGAGTAATATGGAACTGTAGAGAGCAGAATCTAGAAATTAAAGCTGAAAATCCATCTGTTAATAAGAAATGTTTGTATGCATATTTAGCTCACATATTGATCATGAGCCCATGGTAAAAGTTGAACAGTTTCGAATCTAATTGGCTGCTTATGTGTAGGATTAACAAATGAGCAGGGCCAATATGACAATGAACTAAGATGTTATGGTAAATATTAAACAGGTTGGGACTCTGCTCACTGGAGTTTAGAAGAATGAGAGGTGATCTCATTGAGACATATAGGATTCTTAAAGAGTTCAACAGGGCAAATGCTGAGAGGGTGTTTCACCTCATGGCAGAGCCTAGAATCAGATTTCAATTTCTCAGAATAAAGAGGCCCCAGTTCAAGGCTGATATGAGGAGGAATTTCTTCTCTCAAAGGGTTGTGAACCTTTGGAACTCCTTGACAGAGACAGCGATGGGGACAGAGTACTTGTGCATATTCAAGGCTGAGACAAATAGATTCTTGATCAGCTGGGGAATCAACGCTTACAGAGAAAGGGCAGGAAAATGGATATGAGGAATGTCAAATCTGCCATGATCTCAGTGAATGATGGAATAGTCTCGAGGGGCCAAATGGCCTGGTGGGGGGGGTGGGTAGTGAAAGGTGAGATGGAGAGCATAGCACAGAAAAGGGGAAGAGGGAAGGGAGAAATGAGAGATGTAAGAAGAAAAGGGAAGGTACGTAAGGAAGAGAAAGTTCAGAGACAGATGGGGTAGAGAGAAAGAAGGCATTCACACCTTTTGAAGTTTTGGATTGGGAATTAAAATGATCAATCAGCTCTGTCTTTTCTTTTTTCTCTTCCGCCTCCCACTGCTTGCTTTCAGGACCCTTGTCCATTTTTCCCTCTGCCTCATTTTCTCCACGCAAAGGCTTCATCTGCTTTGTTGTCTCTTCTTCACGGTGCAATGAGTCCAACCCAAATCTCTTGCAAGTGATTCTTCCGAGCCAAAGCAGAAAGTTTCTCATTAAACAATAGTTTCAAGGGTAACCATCAAGACAAGACATTGCTTCAACATGATGTAAGATTTACGATCATTTCAAAATGAGTAATTGTAAATCAGAACACAAATCTTCAAGAGATTATCAACTGTAACTCAGTAAATTATTTCTAGCCTCATTCAATTTTGGAAATAACATTTCATCTCAATCTTTTGTAATCATATATAATGCTATCAAATTTCCACACAACATATTTGGATCCAAAAGGAAATTACCTACATTTCACCTAATGTTTTGTTTAAAATCCTTCATCCATAGAACCACTGAGATAAATCACCATGGATCCTCAAATCCTTCACAGTCTGTGATTTCCAGTACATAATGTAAGAAACTAGTTGTATTCTAAGATTTTGAAAAATTTTTATGCAACTTCCTTGTTCATTTTTTTTCTCTCTCTGTCAATGAAATTCAGGAATTCTTAAGCTTGGCTACATATTCCCTGAATATTAGCCGTCTCCTAGTAAAATTGTCGCTTGCAAAGTTACATTAATTTCATTAAAAGGTTGCTGGCATATTGTGAACAGGTTTGATCCACTTAGTGTCATAGATTTGTAGATTAATACAGCATGGAAACAGGTCCTCCGGCCCAAACTGCTCCATGCTGACCATGGTGCCCACTTAGCTAGTTCCAATTGCCTGCATTTAGTCCATATCCCTCCAAACCCTTCCCATCCATGAACCTATCCAAATGTTTTTAAATGTTGCTTTTGTACCTGCCTGAACCATTTTCTCTGGCAGCCCATTCCATACAGACACTACTCTTGGTGTGAAAAAGTTGTCCCTCAGGTCCGTTGTAAAGCTCTCCCCTCTCACCTTAAAACTATGCCCTTTAGTTTTCAATTCCACGTCCCTGGGAAAAAGACTGTATGCATTCATCCTATCTATGCCCCTCATGATTTTACACACCTCAAAAAGGTCACCCCTCATTCTCCTATGTTCCAAGGAATAAAGTCCTATCCTGGCCAACCTCTCCCTATAACTCAGGCCTACTAGACCTGGCAACATCCTTGTAAATCTTCTTTGCACACTTCCCAGTTTAACTATGTCTTTCCTATAACAGGGTGACTGAAACTGTACACAATACTCCAAGTGCGGCCTCACCAATGACCACCAACAACTGTAACATAACGTCCCAACTCCTATACTCAAGGCCTCAACCGATGAAGGCCAGCATGCTAAATGCCTTCTTCATCACCCTGTCTACCTGTGACACCACTTTCAACAAACTATGTACTTGTACTCCTATGTCCTTTTGTTCCGCAACACTCCTCAGGACCTTACCATTTACTATATAAGGCCTACCTTGGCTTGAATTTCCAAAGTGCATCACCTCACACTTATCTGTATTGAATTGCATTTGCCAATCCTCAGCCCACTTCCCCAACTGATCCATCTTTCCAATTTCCTCAATTGAGAGACTAGGACGAGAGACCAAAATCTCAGAATAAATGGCCGCACAGTTAAGGAATTTCTTCTCTCAGAGGGTAGAGAATCTGTGGGATTCTTTACCATAGCAGCTGGGTCATTAAGTATATTCAAGGCTGAGATAGATTTTATTCATCAGGGGTAAGGGAAATTGAAAGAGAGGTGGAGTTGAGAATTATCAGAGCAGACAAGGTCTTGTCAGCAGAGCAGACTCGATGGGCAGAATGGCCTAATTCTGCTTCTACATCTTAGGGTCTTAACTATCTGCCTCCTGGTGTTTCCATACCTTGCTTGGAATGGTACCGCATTGTATAATACCTCTTTTCTGTCAAAATGCATTGTTCCTGCTCCCAATTTCTTCTTATTAAATTCCTTTTGGTACCAGTCTGTCCATTTTGTTCACATGCACCTATATCCGAAGGAGCCAGTTACGGAAGGGATTGTGTAAAAATTGACACTCAGGAAATCCAGCTGGCATCCTTGCTTTCACTTTCCAAGCTCAGATGCTTATCATCTGGTAACACGTTAATCCTGGTACCAAGCCAAGTCCTGAATTTAGCATAAAATTCTCTTAATAAATGACCCTCCCTGGATTCTCAGAAGTGCTTATCTCTCAGTTGCCTTAAATGAAACGACTCCCACGTGCCTGAATCACTGCTGATTTTGTTCACTTTATCATTTGACTCCTCTGAACAAACAGGCCACTAAATCATCTGGTCAACACCAGGATGAATTGCAACATCCCATCAGAGAGAGCTCTTAGCCTATATTTCACATGGAATGGATCACAAGCAACCTTGCAAACGTTCCTAATACTTCAGTCAATTAGCAAGGAAATTAGGAGTGAGGATTTGCCAATACATTTATAGGCTAATCAGTGAAAAGTCACTTTACCATCACTCAAGTACAAAGAAATAACCGTTGAGTTCAGAATCACCAATTTCCCAGAGCTACATGAGCCGTATTCTTGTGTCTACAAAAGTAGGTGATAGACTGGGGAGGTCTGATTCTCAACTCTCTGCAACAAGTCTCGAAGCAGCTGTGAGATAGAATACTGCACCTATCCCCTGACAGAGTGCTCACTACAGGCATATTAGTGAAAACTTCTCACCACTGTTCCATCCCTAAGTCCGGTCCACGTCTGCAACCTATGTCAACATAAGGTGAAAGGCATCATAGAAACCCTACAGTGCAGAGAGAAGCCATTTGGCCCATTGAGTCTGTACCAACCCTCTGAAGTGTGTTCCACCCCATCCCTGTAACACCTCATGAGGTTTTTTTTTACCATGGCCAATCCTCATAACCTGCACATCCCAAGTTAATACGGGACTATTTCATAGCATGGCCAATCCACCTAACCTACTCATCTTTGGACTGTGGGAGGAAACCGGAGCACCCGGAGGAAACTCACACAGACACGGGGAGAATGTGCAAACCCCACACAGACAGTCGCCCGAGGCTGGAATCGAACCCAGGTTCCCCAGCACTGTAGGACAACAGTGCTAACCACTGAGCAACCATGACACCCATAAGCTGTGGAAGAACAGGGCATTCTCTGAATGTCATTTGAGACCTTTTTTTTTATTATTATTATTCACTCGTGAGATGTGGGTACCACTAGCGGGGCAGCAGTTATTGCCCGTCCCTAGTTGCCCCTTGAGAAGGTAGTGGTAAGCTGCCTTCTTGAACCTAGTCTTGAATTTAGTCAAAAGGGAAAAAAGAAGCATATGTGAGTTTTAGGAAGCTAAAATCAGATAGGACCCATGAGGAATATAAGGAAAGCAGAAAAGCATTCAATCAGGGAATTAGGAGAGCAAAAAGGGGCCATGAAATGACCTTGGCAAGCATGGTTAAAGAGAATCTCAAGGCATTCTATTCATACATTAAAACCAAAAGAATAAGGGGGGAGAATGTATGACTACTCAAGGATAAAGGAGGGAACTTGTGCTTGGAGGCAGAGGATGTGGGCAAGATCCAAACTAATTTTTTTTTAAAAATTGGACTGAGGGTCTCATGAAGGCCACACAGATAGAAATAACATAAACTCAGGATTGAGGTAAAGTTAAGTAAAACAAAGAACTAGAAGTAAAACAAAAACAAAGTTGCTGGAAAAGCTCAGCAGGTCTGGCA